CACCGCGGAGGCCCCGTGGGAGGACCCTGTGGCCACTTCCCCAGCTTGCCCGCCTCAGCTCTCAGCAGGAGGGAATCGTCCCGGCGGGCGCCCCAGGGATGCTGGGAGGGGAGAGAAGCAGAGGGCGCAGCCTGGGGCTGTGCACAGATCTGTGCCCACAGGGTGGAGGCCAAGGTCGGGGTCAGGACACCTGTCCCCACCCCAGGGTCGTGCACACGTGTCCACGCGTGTTCACGCAGCCCTGCCCACGACAGTCTTGAGGTGGGAGCAGAGCATCTGTCCGGAGCAGACACCCTGAGTGGACGGCGACCAGGCTGGGCGTGGACCAGCGGCCCTGTCGCAGCCTGGGAGGCCTGGCGGGCCGAGGCCGCGGCTCCGTGGGGCGCTGGGCCCCCTAATAAACTCCTGAATGCAGCACGGCGTCGGCTGGCAGGGTGCCCACGGCGCAGCCTGGGTAGGGCGTCCGCAGAGGCCCCGCAGGTCCATGGCTGTGGGCTGCGCAGGAAGTGAGGGGCGTGAGGCGGCTCAGGGCTGTGTCCAGAAGCCCGCGGGGCCAGGGCGGGAGCTGGGCGGGCAGGTGCCGTGGGCGCCCGGGGTCCCCGCGCAGCGGAGCACCGTTCTGCCTTGCGGGGCGGCAGGCCTCACCCTCCAGGTGGCGGCAGAGGCTCCTGCTGGCCTGCGGGGCGGCCTCTGGAAGGGGCGGGAAGGGCGGTGGCCAGCCCAGACCAGCGCAGCCCGTCCTGCCTCCCGCCCTCTGTGGCTCCTTCTGGATCCAGCGGGTCCTGCAGGACACCACCTCCCTGTCCACCCCGACTGGCTGCGTGTGTTCACACCCTTTTAGCGGGGTTCCGAGGCGCAGCCTGCAGCCCCCAGGCCACACCAACCTGCAGCTGCACCTGTGGCCCTGGGCGCGGCGCCTGTCCCTGCCCCGGCCTGGCTTTCCTTCCCCCGCAGGCGCTGGGCACTTCTCTCTGACCCTCGGATGCAGGGCTCTCTTGCTGACCACCGTGACGCCCCAGATCTGCCCGCCATGGGCAAAGGCTACGCTCTAGGCGGGAACGTCCAGCCATGCAGGCCTGGGCCTAAGTCAGAGCAGGCAACTGAGCAGGGGTGTGGGAGCAGGGGTTTGGGGAGAGGGGCACTGGGGGCAGGGAGAGGGGCACTGGGGGCAGGGAGAGGGGCACTGGGGGCAGGGAGAGGGGCACTGGGGGCAGGGGGAGGGGCACTGGGGGCAGGGGGCAGGGAGAGGGGCACTGGGGGCAGGGTGCAGGAGGAGCCAGGTTGCCACCAGGTCTGGCCGCAAGGGTCAGCCAAGTCCAAGGGTGGGCGGTGTCCACGTGGAGGACGGCCGAGGCACCGAGTCGCCCTCTGGTCACTCAGGCATGTGGCCTGAGGCCTGGCCAGGCCAGTCGGGGCTTGCCTCGGGGTGCTGCGGGCCCGGCGGGGCCAATTCTCCAGACTGCCCTCCGACGCTGGGCTGGCCTGGCCTGGCCATTCTTAGTCTTCGCCTAGCTGGGGCCACTCGTGGGCTGGCCGGGCTGGTTGGCCTGAGGGGACGGGACCTGTCTGGCCTGCCAACCCCACAGAGCACCGCTCTCTTGCCTATGGGGCCGGGAAGCACCCCGGACACCCAGAGGCCAGGGCGGGGGCGGTGGGGCCGCGATGGACCCTCCCTGCAACGGGCAGTTCTGGCTGCCAGCCTGAGCAGGCCCCCCACTTGGTGTGCTCCCCACCCAGGACGGGCAGCCCCTCCCTCGGGGCCCCAGTCCGCCGCGCGCCGGCCAGGGGGCTCGGCTCGG